GTCTTTTTGAGTTGTTCCAGCAGAAGTTAATAATTTGTTCTGCTGGTAAAACCATGTTCATTCATTACACTTGCACATCAGTTTTACATTATGCAATGAATGCAGTAAGAAACATGTCAGTGAACAATGTTGTGCAATAAAAGTTACTCATTAAAACACAAACACAGAAATAACGTCATCATTGCTTTTGTGCTGTACTCAGGCCAAGTTTTCGACGCATAAACTGGTTCAACCCAGTTGGCAGGGAGTGTAAGCTGGTGATGGAGAAGGTGGGAGTGATCGACCTGACACCTTTTGGCAAGTTCATAGTGAAGGGGAAGGACTCACACAGGCTGCTGGACCGCCTGTTTGCCAACACTATGCCCAAGGTAGAGCACAATTACTCAAAGTGTCTATTGTTTTGTTGCTGTAGATGTGAATATTGTAAAGTGTATCCACAGGATTTTGACCATTTTAACTCCCACCATTACGCTAGTGTTGCACAAATAGTCATATTCTCTGGACACATCAAAGAATTTCCCATTTTCTTTTAAAAGTAGTTCAAGGCTTTGAAATGCCTCCATGCCTCTCACCGGCTCCATGTCTTCAGGTGGGCCAAACTAATATCAGTCACATGTTGACATCCACTGGGAGAGTCTATGCTGAGGTCACCATCACCCAGCCGGCACCTGGAGAGTTCTTGCTCATCACAGGTTCGGGGTCAGAGCTACATGACCTCAGGTGAAATGCATCAAACATGAAACCAATCACACTCGCGTTAATCAGACTAGCAGCACAATATAAAGACAAATAACAATATTGGGTTGTTTTCTTAAAGCAGCTATAATGCTGTGTTTTGTTTGTTTTATTCATTCTGCCTCATCACGGGCACAGTGAATTGTGGTGATTTGTAATTGTATTTGTGTTGTGGTTTCTAGAAAAATACAGAAATGTCCTTTATTACTGCAGCAGTTTCATGTATCTTAGCAGGACGTCACAATTAGTCTGTGCCACATGCACACTCGCGAGACCAGTGCCTGAATACTCAGTTTCCCTGCACAGAGCACTGAGCACATGATGTTAACAGAGAAACAAAGCACTTGACCTTTGCTAAAAAAAACCCTCTGTTTTACACCACATAACCTTAGCAGCTGCTAACATAACGCTTTCCATTTGCCCCAGTCAAAAGGCAGTATATTAAAATATCCAATCTCTGTTCCTTTATTTTAACCAACTCTCCCACATAGCCTGAGGGAAGCAAGGACAACTTTGTGCTGTGTAGTGCCATCTGGTGGTGACCAGGCCAAACTACAGGGCATCACAAATGAGCCTGTGAAAATCAGAACATGTGGCAGCATGACATGTATATGTGAAATATTTCATGAGATACAGGACTGAACTGACATATCTAGTTATAAAAGAGCATATAATGCAATCTTTGCTCTGTGGCTTTCAACTCTCAGGTGGATAGAGACAGAAGCTGCAGACGGCGGGTATGATGTCGACATCAGCAACGTTACCGAAGATCTTGGCGTGCTGGGTGTTGCTGGACCAAACTCCCGCAAAGTTCTTCAGAAACTGACAGATGAGGATATGAGTGACACTGGATTCAAATTTCTCCACTGCAAGTCCATAGAGTTGGCTGGCGTTCCTGTTCAGGCCATCAGGATCTCTTACACAGGTACTGGACGCTTTGAAAAGTCATACATGTCACCAGCCACAT